TGAGCTTTCCTTTTCTCCTAGAACTGGGAGGCTGCGAGTCGAGTAAGTGGGCGGCCTCTTGACTGATGTCGTCAAAGTTGCTGACAGTTTTCTTAACTGAGAGAGCCTTGAGGAGGTGGAGCAGGAAGCAGTCGTAGGGGCCTATATTAGGACAATATGATGGGCGTGGTATGGTCTCTCAGCTTTGCTCCTAAATTTTTCGGTAGGTCTCTATAGCAGTATGGGGTGTCCTCACGAACGAGGTGCCCGAAGCTGCTTTCGATCATTTTTCTCCAACAGTTTCCACAGGTTCTGGAGCTGAGCTGCAGAAATAATAGCGGTGACCGTGTGTTCTTACAAGGGCACTCGTAGAGCAGCATTCCCCTCGCATCCCAGAAGCAGCACAGGAGAACCTTCTCGGAATGCATAACCGCTTTGGAGTGCTAGGATTCGTCTTCTCCTTCCAGTGAGACACACGGATTTTGTGGATTGAAATCGCAGAGGACCCATCTCTCATCTCCACTAAGCAGTCTCCCGAAACTCCTTTTGACGAGGGCGGAGAAGGGGAGACTGACCAAGGGGTACCCGGGTGCACAGCGTGCCATCGGTCATGGTATGAGTGATCCATCGAGCCAGTTTTTTTTCGATAGCCAAGCGCTCATAGGCGATTGTCAGTTAGGTACACCCGAATCTTGTCGCAAGACTGCGGATGGTAGCCTCCGGATCCCTCCTTGACAGCTTTGAGAACGGTGGAAGCCACTTCGTGGAACCTGGGCTTGCCTCCGAGGATCGTGTCTCCTTTCGCAAAGCGAGCGAACCAGTGGTGGACAGTCCTGATGGTAGTGGTGTCCTCCCCCAATGCACTGTTGATGTTGCGGTCAGCTGCCGTCGCTCCAGTGCCGCGGCACCACTCAAAGAAGATAGTGACTCGAAGCTGTCCCTGGAAACTGACAGTGTAATTAAACAGAGGGAAGAGCAGGTGCCTTCATATGCCCCTCACGGAAAAGCTCCGAGAATGTTCTACAAGCATAGCATGTATAGTGTAGTTCACTGCGGACGGTTGGGCGTGTCAGCGCGGCTGCGTTTGGCGCGGTGCCAAACTCGTTCTGCACCAGTTGTTGAAGGGGCAAGTGACAATACTGTATCATACCCCTTCGTAATAGTCGTGCCGCTAATAGTCGTTTTCTACCACTTTTTTTCCGCATGCGCGTTTTTAACGAGAAGGCAGAGAACGGCTCTGAAGGGGTGAGACACTCATGCCGGCTGACACGTCCAACGGTCCGCAGCGAACTAAAGTGTTACGTCATCAAGAATCAAAAGCTGTATGTAAAGCTATTCAGAAACACTGACAGGACTTTCTTTCCAACCTAATAATCTGTGTTAGTTTGCCTGGTTCATATGCTTGTCAACTTAACTGGCATAGAAAATTAAGCAAAATTTCCAGTTATAAGATCCCCATCATCGGAATATACCAACTGTTGGAAAGGTTGTGTGAATGGACATGAACCTTGCTTGCCGTTAGCGAATTGCCCGACCACTGGACCCTGCTCTGCCTCCGTGCCGATTCTCTCGGTCTCCCATCTGTCTATCATCCCACTTTCCTCTCCTGTCTGCTTCTGCCTGCACTCCACGAGAAATTCTGCAACATCGTGTAGTAAAAAGTTGCATGACGAATTCTCGCCTCCGTTGATTCCAATCTGCATCACAGTAAGTAAATTCTTTTTATCTTTACTTTTTGTCAAGTCCTGGACATATAAAATACCGCTACGGCTCTCATATAGCTCTTTTTTCAAAAGTCAGCTTGCTTTCTGTTGTGGTATCAAAAGTGGTACACAAGGGCGCTACACCAAAATTTACAATTTTTTTTTCAAGATTTTAGTTCAAAATTTGATGGGTGGCAAGATGTCTCAGGATTAAATGCAGACCCTGCACGGGTCTTATCTATTTTTGCTTTTGCGGGTTTTATGGGCCACCGCATTTCTGGAACTAAAATTTTAAAGATTATATCATATTTTTTTTTGTTATTTATCATTTCACAAGAAGGGCTGGTCTAAACTTACTGTTTTCTACTCCTACCAAATCTTTTGGAAAAGAGCACTGCCGAGACTGCATGACTGTATCGTTATTTACAATTTTTCCTTGATAAGGATTGTTCCACGCGATCGCGAATATCATTGAGGCTGTCAGTGTGTCAAGTCAATCGCAAGACGCGCCTTCCAGATGTAGGGGCAACTCGTCCAAGATCACTGGCGAATTTTCGTTCTTGGCGGTATTACGTTAAAGCCATCAGTTGCCCGCGCCTTCAGCAGTTCGTGCGTGGGATTACCTAATATAGAGCGTTTCGTGATGATGTGTTGCAAAAAACCTATAGCCTACTGCTTTTGGACAGGTTGAAGCCTGGAGGAATGCAGGAAGAACTGTGGGGTGGGAAAAAGTTTTGAGTGATTACTAGATAGCACGGCAATCACGAGAAATCGTTGAACTAAGTATACACGCACTCAAAGGCACACTTCGCGATACTGAGATAGGTGGGAAAATGGACGCTAAACGCTTCTTAACGAATATTCATAAAATCCAATAACTTGCTCATTAGGACGACTGTTCTACCTGAAAGATGCGTCGCATTACTTGTCATGACATACTTAAAGGCAGCTGGCACGATAAATCCCCAAGACTAGTAGGATTAATACGCCTGGCGCGACCCTGAGCAGGCGCTGCATAATGCCTTTTCCAAGGGAAGGTGCCCTTATAAGGGCCCTATCAAGCCACAACATCCGACCCAAACGCCCGCCACCCGCCCGCCCACAAATGGACGACCGTTCCTGACGCTCTAATCGATTCATTTGCTAAGCAAATTATGAAGCGAAGGGATTGGTATGAAGCGGCCGTGATGCTGCATGGATATATGAGTACACATATGCAGCCGTACCTTCGGTAGCGGTTATTGGCAAGATGCCTACAGGAAACTCGTCCAAAATTGATTTCTAACACATTGAGAACGGAGGCTCTTTCTTCGCAGGATTTTGACCGTTTCACTCCGTTCTTTCGCCATTTCCCCACTATATAGCGCCCTACTAGCATTTTAGGCCGAGCACCAAATCATCGTGCCAACTGCCTTTAAGGCAGTGTAATCGCGCAACCTTGTTCTTCCTTGATTCTTTTCGCGAGACTTTGTTCCTAAAGCAATCTAAGAGGGATGAATTGGTTCTTACGGCAGAAAAACACCTGCAAAATGTCGCCAAATAAGCCAGTAGACACGTCAGCGAGTGAAGAACGAAAGCCAGACGGACAAACAGAGATATACGTGAATCCTACGCCTACAACATCAACGTCTTCTGAACAGCCAACATCGCCTGCCACTCCCGATTTTGTGGCAGCTCTTGGAAAGATGCTGAATTCCCCAGGAGGAATGTCGCCTTTACCATTTCCTTTTGGTATGCCTCTGCTCCCAATGTTTCCGCCAATTTTACCGGCCAACTTCTATCCTTGGCTGCTCACACCACCACTTCTATCTCCTTCACCTAACATTACCAACCCTTTCCCGCCATTGCCTTGCCCAATTCCTTTGGCACCCTTATCCACTCACCTACTCGATGTTAGGAAAAATGTGGAGGCTCTCGTCCATAAGCTTTTTTCGCCAACCGTGTCGCCACCTCTTTTCGGAACTCAGCCGACATCGTCTTCAAATAGCAGTGGCATGAGCAGTCCACTGACCTCTTCACAGAATTCCACTAACACTCCTCAAGCCAATTTGCTTCACGCGGATCAAGCGCAAGTGAGCGGCGAGTCTTCTCCGGGACCCGTTGAACAAATGGTTCCAGCGGATCTTCTTTTCAAGAAAGAATTGAAAGTATTCGGCACGACTGCTCCGCCATTTAATAGTAATAGCGATGAGTCAGGTGAGCCAGATGGCATACAGTGCCCCTTGCACCACGTTCAGACTTCGCGATCGGTTTGTTCGAGCAACTGGATCGCTCGATTGGATCGTGCGACCACTTCCGAAGGCGCTTCACCGGCAATGGTTCACCGCCGAAACGGCTCAGTTCAAACTGAGCCGCTTTCACACGTGCCACTTTGAATTGTGCCGTTGCGGCAATGTATCATTTGCCGGCAGAGCGTCTGCAGTCGCGGTCGCGCGATCCAATCACTCGAGCGATCCGTTCGCGAAGTCTGATCGATCTCAATTTGTAGGGTGCACATTATACAGTTAAGAACAAATACGATATGCATGACAAATAAGCACTATCTTTTTTTAATTCAATCCTTGCTTGCAGGATTGTGCTACTTCGCTTTTTTTTCAGTTGCTCCACAACGGCGTTTCCCGTGCATGCCACTGCCGTCCATCCATCCGGCAACTCAAGCAGCGATGGCTTCTGTTTCCGGACCGATGCAGCAGGCAATGATGCCATGCAGTGCTATTGCTGGTCCATCGAGAATGCCTACCGATGCGTCTCATCCTGTTCAAGTGCAAAACATGCCGTTTGTACCGGGTCCATCGGCTTCGAAATTCCGCGAGGGTCAAGGGCTTCCTAGCACGAATGGCCTACCTAGTTCGTCCAGTGTGGCGTCCGTTAATCCATCGCCATTCATGGTTAACATGGATTCACAAAATTCAGTGCAGCGATCCGTTCGGCCTGCTGCTAGGTATTATCCATCGGTAAGTTAGGTAGCCTTGGATTGCGTTCATACTTTGGCAGCGTTTTGAGCGTCTTAAGCGGCTAGGAATGTATAGATATCGAGCGTTCGTCTCTTTTTGAGCGTCCACTGTGTTTTGGGCATCGGCCAGCGTTTTGACCGTTTCAAACGACTACGAAAGTATAGATATCGATTATTGCTGAAAATACTGGCGATCGCTCAACACTGTCGCAAAGTATGAATGTACTCTTGTTGAATCTTGATCATCCTAACAACGATTTTCCTTAGGGTAAGAAAATCGGTCGTCCGCCGGGTTCTTATAAGCGATTTGACCAGTCTTCAACTTCTAAGAACAAGTATGTTTGTTTCCTCAACTTGCAATATTATTTTACTTGTTTACGTTGATTGTTTTTGCTGCATTTCATTATCCTCGAAGACTAACCACAATCGGTTCTAAAAAAGAGGCATTATAACGTTGGGTTGCTAGAGCCGAATTTTCGATGTGCTGATTTTATTGCCTCAGTGTCCCTGGGATCATCTATTGTGGCATTGTTGTTTGGTTACTTTTCCACGGGGTAGGTTTCGCCAGAACTTTGTCTTCAGTGGTATTACCCGTCACCACCTCTCCAAGGTTTTCAGGTCAGGCAAGTGTGAGATTTGCTCCGGGTTCAAGCTACCCTTTGGGGCGAATTCACCATTCAATAAGTTGGCGTTTTGGGGTTTTAGCGCTGGCATTTGACGTTTTGTTGTCAAATGGACGTGGCATATATGTTCACGGGACAAATATACCCTCGAATACTAACCTTCAGCCATATTCCGGAGAAATATCCAATGAAGACTTGGCTCGATTTTCCAATAGTGGGATAGAAAAGAATAAACAGTGTTTCTATCTCGGTCATGTCAGCAGTCTACTAACTTTATAGGTTAACTCTAAGTGATGTTCTGAGGAAGGATTCTGAAGAATGTAATGTTTCCAACGAAGTTGTCGACGTTGAGACTCTAACCGAAGAAAAATGCGAATGGGACCAATGTCAACTGGTATTTTCTACTCAAAAAGTTGGTTGTTTTTTCGCTCAGTAGGGTCGGCTTCTATTCCTCATTCCTTCATATTTCAGGCTTTAGTGGACCATGTGGCCGAGTGTCATGTGAACATTTCAAATCGAGATTGGGTTTGTAAATGGAGAGGATGTGAACGTACAGAACCTTTTCGAGCTCTCTATATGCTCGTTGTTCATGTACGCAAGCACACAGGCGAAAAACCGAACGAGTGCACGGTCGGTTGTATTGAATTTTGAGCAAGTTGGCTGAGGGGGGGGGCATTTAAGGGAGTTTTTTCAGGTTTGATAGTGAGCTTCCATTCGTAGGATTCCCCATTTTTGCACAATTTAAGTGCTTGCAAACCCGCAACTTCGTACATCTTCTGCCTATGATTAGGCGAAATTATCATCATCTTCACAGTACTGCGGTGTTGTATAGGCTGACCTCAAATGTTCTTCAAAGACACTCCTTATCCCTGAGACAGAGCAGGCGTGGCATTTGAACATGGCATAGGATGGGTTACTCGGGGGGGGGGGGGAAGGGGGGATGAGGCAACTGCCGTCTTTCTTCTGTGTTCGACAGAGAAAGGGTCATAATTGTGTCAAAATTAAAGTATCTCACGGAAAGCACCGCCGCCGCCACGTTTAGTTGAAGTGCGCAGCCATGCCCACCACATTTCAGGAATTTCGAGCGCACCCCCTAGTCCACTTGGATTTTTTTTTCTTTCTGCTATAGGTCACAGTATATCCACTGTTTTCAGCATCCAGGGTGCAACAAATCATACAGTCGCCTTGAGAATTTGAAAACGCACATGAGGACGCACACTGGAGAGAAGTGAGCAGCTTATTACTAAACCTTTTGTTTTCATTCGAATTCTGGTGTGTTCAGGCCATATGCTTGTGAGATTCCTGGATGTCCAAAAGCCTTCAGCAATGCAAGTGATCGCGCCAAACACCAGAATAGAACGCATTCCAACCTGGTTAGTCTTTGTTGAAATTCCCAGGTGATTACTCATAGGAGACGTATAATTGATGCTATAGTAGTAGGGGTCCGCAATCGTCCAAAACTGCGTAATACACCATAGCGTGGTTGTAGTCAGCAGAAATTTTCTAAGTTCATGTCATTAAGAAGTCACTGGTAATATGAAGAAAAAAATGGGAATTTCACCTTCTTAAACAGTTTCCATAAAAATTGCACAGATGGCGTGGGAAGGGCATATGTTCCAAGACGCGATCTTGTCATCAATCGAATGTCGTGACATATTGTATGATCACGTGCGGCGCCAGTTAAGGGTACGTTCACGCTTCGCGTCTGCTGCGGCGGCATTTCGAGCATACGCCAGCGACTAGGAAAGTATAGGTATCGTTTTAGCGCATGCCGCGCAAGCCAGTGTTCGGG